TCGTCGTTCCTTTCGGGTGCGCCTTGGTACCGCTCTCTCTCCCTCTTTTCAGCAATACGAAGGTGTGCCCCAGGGTAGTGTTCTGAGCACTACTCTTTTTCTGGTTGCCCTCAATGGTCTTCTTTCCTCTCTTCCTTCTGGTGTCTTCTCCGCTCTCTATGTCGATGATCTTACCCTTTGTTGTCAGGGTGATGATTCGCCTCTCCTTCAACGCCGGCTTCAACTTGCGATTGATGCCGTGTCGTCTTGGGCCACAGGTCATGGCTTCAAGTTCTCTACTTCTAAGACTTGTGCCATGACTTTTACGCGGAAACGGGTTGTTCTTCGTCCCTCTTTGTCACTTTATGGTCATCCCCTTGAATACAAAGATTCCGCGAAGCTTTTGGGGTTATTCCTTGACACTCGTTTGTCTTGGTCTCCCCATATCTCTTACCTCCGTGTTGAGTGCTCTAAGTCCCTTACCCTCCTTCGGGTCTTGTCCCATACTTCTTGGGGGGCAGATAGGCGCACTCTCCTTGCTTTACATTCCTCTCTCGTCCTGTCTAAGCTCGATTATGGTTGCCCTGCTTACTCGTCTGCTTCTCCCTCTACTCTTCGCCGTCTTGATGCTTTGCACCATACTGGGTTGCGCCTCAGTTCTGGTGCCTTTCGTTCGACTCCCGTCCTTAGCTTGTATGTTGACACTGGCTTCCTGTCTCTCCAGGACCGCCGTGATCGCTACTGTCTTCGCTATCTTGCGCGGTCCTTGCAACATCCTTCCTCTCGCCTCTGTCGTGCTTTAACTTTTACCCCTCCTGCGGTTCCTGTTCCTCTTCACCACCTCCCTCTTTCTGTCCGGTTATCTCGCCTACAGGATTCTCTTTCCGTTCGTATTTCTGATGTTTCTCCTCGTGTTGTTCCTTCTTTGCCCCCGTGGAGGGTCCCTCTTCCGCGGTTTTGTACATCCTTGACTCGTATCACTAAAGCTTTTACCCCTCCTACAGTTCTAAAACGCCTTTTCCTCGAGCACTTTTCTTCTCACTCCCGCTCCGTTTCTGTCTTCACCGATGGGTCTAAGTCAGCGGACGGTGTTGGCTACTCTGTTGTTTTTCCTGATCGCACTTATATGTGTCGCTTGCCTCCGGAGACTAGCATCTTTACAGCGGAACTTTATGCTATTCTCTATGCTCTTCGTCTCCTGCTTTCTCGTTGTCAGTCTTCCTTTGTGGTTGTTGTTGACTCTCGTAGTGCCCTCATGGCTCTCGGGTGCTTTAATCCAGTTCATCCGGTAGTTGTCGAGATCCAGCATTGGCTGTTTCTCGTTCACAGTAAATTTAAGTCGGTTGAGTTTTGTTGGGTTCCCAGCCATATTGGCGTGTCTTTAAATGAGCGTGCGGATGCTGCCGCTAAGGAAGCTGTCCGCTCTTGTCCCATCTCTCGTAAAGGCATTCCGTATTCCGACTTTTACCCGGTTATCCATTCCTCAGTCCTTACCCGTTGGCAGGCTTCTTGGTTGTCTGTTACTGGTAACAAGCTACGTACTCTTAAATGTTGTGTTTCCTCGTGGCCGTCCTCCTTCCACCGTAACCGGCGGTGGGAAACAGCTCTGGCGAGGTTGCGTATTGGCCATACTCGCTTAACCCATGGTCACTTGATGGAGCGCCGCCCTGCTCCTTATTGTCCTAGTTGCATTGTCCCTCTTACGGTCGTGCATGTCCTTCTTGAATGTCCTGACTTCCAGGACGAGCGTGTGTCTTGCTTTCCGACCGCCCCTCGCGGTCACCTGTCCCTCGATAGAATTCTTGGTGACTCGGATACTTTTGATATCGTTCGCCTTATGCGTTTTTGTTCTCGTATTGGCATCCTTGGTGATATTTAGCGCCCTCTGATTATTTTGCGTATTTGATGGTGCTACATAGCCTTCCCGGTTTGGTGCCTTCTTTTGATAATTACTTACTTACTTACATAATTAGAAAACTAATAAATGATAAAACTGACCTTGTCCAACTTTGCTATGTATAAATATTGTATTCCCATTTTTTCAATGAATCTTAAGGTTTTCATAAAAGACAATACAAATTTTGTAAAAATTTTATTTAAGGTAATTACATTTTGTACAAACATAAAAGTATAAATGAGTGGCAACACTGAGCATTTCCATGTCACTTCATGGACACACATCCACAAATTACTCAGTCCACTAATAAATAGCCGCCAACTTAATCCAACTTTGTGACTTAAATCCATCCATGATCTCAACACCTAAATCCACCACAACCTTTACTAGCAGATTTGTTCCTTGTGCACAGGACCTTGTAATAATTGAACTATCAAAATCATCCAAAATCATTCATTCAGTGTCTAAGCCAAACCTGCTAGACGTTTGTAAAAAAATTGTTGCAGTAGGTTGTGGCAAAGCCGGTGTTTTCATCTGAAGCACAAACACGGACAGTACAGGATGTGGGTCTGCAATATGTTACTGTATTATCAATCGTATATTATACGAAAAGGAGTATTATCTTTTACCTGTCCAACTAGCCTCTGGTTCAAAAACCATAGAACAATACCATTTGTTCATTAGACATTAAGAAATATTTTGAAGGACAAAGAGCACCAATATATAAAAAGTTTACAACCAAAGGTTGGATACCAGTCTATGAACCAGAGGAAGCAGGGGAACAAGCAGGATAAGAGAGCACAGGCCCACCATTGAGATCAACTTGTTAATTCTTTGAAGGCTGGAACATTACTTCATATTATTGTTAGTACTAGTATGGTAGTTATCAAGAACTACCATTTTGAACAGTACTGTACTTGTGAATGGTACATCATTAAAAAGGTCACTGCAGGCCTATATTATTAAGCACACCATTACAGAAGAGGACAATCTTTGGTTACAGGCAAAGCAGGGACTAACGGTGGCGGGCTACACAGTACCATTGCAATTACAATAAAAGTGTGTGAAAGGCTGGAGCCTGACGCTCTTTCTGGGCTGCTTAAAGCACTGCTAAATCCAGTGTCAATGGCAGGGCTTATGACTAGCACTTACAAACATACAGCACACACAGGCTGATCAACTCTCACACTGCTTCAAGAAAAATAGGGATTTGAGATTCTGGCGCCAGGAATTATCATATCTGATTAAGAAAAATGTACAAAACTATTATACATTCCTGAAATTTCAAAATGTAAATAAAAACTACTTTACATTAAGTGATGCTGTATGTGCACATACAATCTTCAAATGATAAGAAATGCAAAACTAGGAAAATGCAATATGAATAAAAAAAAATCACATAACATATTAACATGGCAAACTTAAAATACAAGTAAAACGATCATGCTGAAGACAGATGATTCTTCACTCACATAAAACACACAAACATAACTAAAATCTTTACAAACATCTAAACATTTAACTGAAGTATATAAAAAGCTGTACAGATTGCCATTAAATGTGCCATGTCTCTCAAGCTATACTGACTAGTAGGAATAAGAAGCAATATTTATACTAAATGCTAAATTGATAAAAAAAAACTTGCCATGTACAAAATTGATAATTATCTTTTTCATGAATATCAAATAGGCTCTCTTGGATATCCCAAGGTTAAAAATGCACACGATCTGTTTCAAGACACATTACTTAAGGGGACACACTTATCCACCAAGCATTATCACTGTGCTTGCTGCTCCTGAAATCACATTATTATATTCTTGCCTCATGCATCTTGAGTTAACATTAAGGAAGTGAGCATTTTTCATACTTCATTGGAAATATTACATAAATCACACACCAGACAAGCCCAATTCTAAACAGAATTAGTTAATGCACAATATTTGCTATACACATGCTTCATCATCTGGCCAACCAAGAAGTCTGTAACCCAGGGCATGAGCACCACCAGTGGGGAAATAATAAGAGCTTATATCACTAATACTGTCAAGTATGGCTGCTGGCTCTGCTCCAGTACCTCAAAGTGTGTGCAGCATATATTACAAAGATGGTGTTGGCTCCATCCTTTATGCACTTATAAACAAATGATTTCCTTAAATGAAAGATTGCACTTTCTACTCTTTACTTTACTACTACAACTAATATTCTCAAAATTATTATACAGTATATGGACTTTTTTTTTTTTTTGTAAAACTCCAGTACATTAGGAATGATGGACATCTTGGTGACTAACCTTTTACTTTAATAACCATGTGTGTGTAATGCTGAGTGTGAGTGAGAGCACGAGTGTGTGAGTGAGCGTGTACTTACCTAGTTGTGCTTGCGGGGGTCGAGCTCTGGCTCTTTGGTCAGGTGTGAGTGTGAGAGAGAGATAGAGTATGTGTATGTGAGTGAGAAAGTGAGTGTGTGTATGTGAGTGTAAGAGTGTGAGTGTGCGTGCGTGCGTGCGTGCGTGCGTGCGTGCGTGCGCGTGTGTGTGTGTGTGTGTGTGTGTGTGTGTGTGTGTGTGTGTGTGTGTGTGAACTAAAAGATATATAATTAAAACTTAACCTCCCTTAATTGTTCACATTTGTTCCTTTCTTATGGCCGAGATATCTGCCCATCCTTCATATGACATCAGAACTATTATGTTGTTACTTTTCACCACAACATAGCTCAGGCTAATAATCAAAACAGCTGTCGTGAGATCACAAAATTAATATAAACCAAACTACATTAAGACTCAATGCATAAAGACTGGACAACACTTTCCATATACACTGGAAAAACATTTTCCACTGAAAACTCAGTGATAACAACAATCATCCCAACAAAGAGAGCATAATGCAGATTTGTGTAGGTGTCATATTAATGCTATACTACACATCCAGCAAAGATTTCAAAGTATCTCCAAAACTGCCTTCATCACCCTGCAAAGCCTCTTATTTGAGAATAAATTTTATCACTGATGTCTAAGGAGTTGCAAAATATTGATCTATATCCAATAATTGCTGCATGATAGCTGCTTCTCTTAATTCTTAGCTATTAATAAACAATAGCTACAGATTAGCTGCTTATTTAATATCTATTAATAAACAAAGAACTATAAAAAATTTAATTCATAAAACTTGTAAATTAAATGCACTATCTTAAACATCAAGGCCTTGACAGGTTAACATAACATGGATTCATAAATTTTTAATCTGACTGCGGAAGAACTACTATGGCAACAGCAACAACTGAAATGCCAAGTGGACAGTTTCCCTTGCCTTAAACTTCTTGACAGACCCGGTACCCACATGCTTATCCCACAAAGGGCCAAGGTTAAGAAGTTATCATTCCAATATCGGCAAAGTTTTTGAAAAGTATAATAATCTATTAGTTAAAGATACGTATTAATAAGAGCTTATGGTTTAGGCAACGGCCGGATTAGGTAAAGCTTCTCTCCTTTTTGGCTTGTATAAATAGGTGACCGCTGGTAATGATCCACTAGCTGGTCCAAGGTTTGGAATTTTCGTTGACCAATACAATATAATCCATTTTCAACGTGCACTCTGAAGTGCTTGTTGCGACCTGCTGCTTTCAAAGACACACTGAAATCACCCACCTGCAAACAGAGATGATACTACGGTAAATGTTTGGTATTTTTCAGTAAAAAATAAATTAAATGCAATGATCACAACATAAAATTTTAAGGAAATCTCTGGTTTAATGATGCTCAGTTTTGTAGCTCATATATGAAATATGAGATTATGTACTTTGCATGCAATTGATCATAAGCATATGTATCACAATCAAATATTCTCACGAAAAAGTTACCTAGTATGTGGCATTAGGTATACTGTATATACACTGTATACTGACAGTGTAAAATTAATAGATGCAATTTTCAATCAAGCCTATTTAAATGCTGAGGCTACTCAACTTGTGAATGTAACACAGAATACAGACACCTCCTTCTATCCAAGGCAACACAAGACTGCAGAAAGCCCGACACATTAACAAGATAACGGGCAGCCAAGGCCCTGTTCGACCTACAAAATCCCCGTGCCCGAATCTCAGCCCATGACATGTTCCCAAACACAGCAGCAAGAGCTGTGAACTTCCGAACATCATGGGTGCGAGGGTAGACCACAGGCTGGCTAGACCTAATAACCCTGTGGATGACCTGAGAGACCCGAGCCCTGGAACAGGGAACGAGGGATGCTGGGTCATCCCACAGCGCGTCCCCGGACACAAAAGCTGAGGCGCGCAAGTAATGGTGTAAAGCTGCAACTAGGCACAACACATGATGCACCCCTGGCCTGAGCAGCCAAGCATCAATAACCCACAGACCCTTTCGGAAGCTCGCCATCACATTCTTCGCCAGAAAAGGAGATTGCAGGAAGCGAACAAAACTTCCACCAGGACCAAAAGAGCAGACGCTCTTGCTTTAAGGACTCTCCCAGAGCTCCTACAAGGCTTTACCCAGATTATTTTGCTTGCTAAATATACCTTTGACTCAGATTCTCGGGAAGAATACGCTGGAGAAGAGCATGAAGCTCCCCAACTCGACCCCCAGAGGCCAAAGCCAAAAAAAACAAAGCCTTCTGAAAGCAGTCTTTGACCGAAGGGGCCATTACAAACTGAGGAGAAGAGAGAAAGGAGAGCACCGGTCCAAGGACCAGGACGGCCCAGGCAGTGCATGAGCAGACCAAAGGTGAAAAAATGCATAAGAAAGCTTACGGAACGGAGCAGAAGTGACAACCACCCCGAGCGCAAGCTGGAGTGGCTCCGTCAGCGACTCACGATAAGAGGCAACAGTAATCAGGAGTAGAAGCTAGTCCTGAAAAAAACAAGAAGGACAAAACTACATGATCAGAAACCGAAGACAACGTATGAAGAGAAAGGAAATGGAGAAAAGAATGTCAAGAGACTTCATACTGTTGCCGTGAAGAAGACCACAGGTAGGACACCTTAAGAGAAACTATCTGATCACCAACCAAGCGGTAATACACACACATTAGAAATCTCAGACGCGAAGAGTGGAAGAGAAGATCGAACCAGCAAGACACTGTACCGGTCCGATCTGCTGGAAGAGGCAAAGCTGTGAAACTTCGGTGTCCGTATTCGGACACCGAGCAAGCAGCGCCAAAACAAAGGCTGGGCCTGCCACCAGGGGGCAAGAAAGAGAGACTACTCTAATAGGACTCCAGTCGAACAAGAACAAGGAGCAACAGCTGGACCAGGGGAAAGAGGCATGAGTACCCTCACCTCAACCAGTCCTGCCAAAAAGCACCAACCGCGATGGCCTCACAGTTGGGGAAGGGCGCTGCCTACACAGGAAAATGCCACGATCACGCCAACATGAAGAGGCCCACCACCGGAGGCTCGAACTTCTGACAAAGCCAAAGGAAGGAGACAGCGTCAACCGTCCTGGTCACAGACAGAGGAATCAACCGAGACAGACCGACTGCCAGGACAGTGGACACCCCTGATGTAAACCGCATGGAAAGCTGCACCCAGAGAACACAGCAGAAGAGCCGCTTGAAGCGGCCACCCCCAAAAGAGCCAAGGACCGAAGAGACCTGTCCAGGCAACCCACCCTAGCCAAGAACACAAAAGCAAGACAAAACAGACAAGCAGCAACCCTAGCCTGTCACCGAGGGGACACAGAAGCACAATACATGGCAAGGGTGGCGGTCAAAAGAAAGAAGAACAAACCCAAACAATGCACACCTTCAGGAGCCCAGACATAGGAAAAAACAAATGTTCAGTGGCAAAGAAGGAAGACAGGAATGCTGAAGGCAAGGAAGAGGCGAGGGCTGAAAATAAAAACAGCAGAAAGCCATTACACTCAGGGAAGTGCCTCCCCCCTCAAGAAAAGAAGGAAAGAAAATGATGTGAAGAGCCGAAGCAGCACCTCAACGAAAACCCCATGAAATGGAAAAAACAGCATTGAATGTAATGCAACGCAATTTTCTGGGTGAGTCCCGGGGGCTCCCTGGAGCTATCCAGGCTGAATATATATGTATAACTTTCTGGCATCAATGTGCTTAACGATATAATATCAGACAAACAGTATGGTTTTCGATTTGGAAGATCCAGTGAAACGAATTTACTCAAATTTTATGATCGAGCCACAGAGATTTTAAAGGAAACAGATGGTTGGGTTGACTGCATCTATCTGGACCTAAAACAGGCTTTCGACAGAGTTCCCCATAAGAGGTTGTTCTGGAAACTGGAACATATTGGCGGGGTGACCGGTAAGCTTCTAACATGGACGAAAAATTTCCTGAATGACAAAAAAACCAGCATTGAATGTAATGAAACGCCATTTTCTGGGTGAGTCCCGGAGGCTCCCCGGAGCTATCCATGGCTGATATGGATACCTAACTATTTTGCATCAGTCGATGTGGATGGAGTTGTAGGCCTACCGGGGACCACGAGCCAGAACCTGGCCCCCTCAGAGAGGCACGGGGAGCAATGGCCCATAGAAATGCACATGTGATTTGGAGCATTGTATATCTGCCACCGACCGGGACAGGCACCCAGAAAGGTAAGCGCCACAAAACAAACCCCTAATCTGGTTAAACAACAAAAATCGACAAACGAGTGGACAGAACTCCCCCAGGAAAATGAACTAACAAGCATGACGTCACGCGAGCCGCGCCGCATGTCTGCGCAGCTCCCCACTCCCCGGGAGGGGGAAAGGGGAGCCCCAGACCCCCGCGCCAGCGATCCCCGCCCCAGTTCCTCTGCTGATGGGATCATGCACGGTTGTGTGGCTCCAGCTCCAGTCTTGTCAAAGAGGTAGTGGTAGATGGTTGGAACAAGTTAGGTGATAAGGTGGTGGAGGCCAAGACCGTCAGTAGTTTCAAAGCGTTATATGACAAAGAGTGCTGGGAAGACGGGACGCCACGAGCGTAGCTCTCATCCTGTAACTACACTTAGGTAATTACTCGTGGCTTTAGTACCTGTAGGTTGTATGTAGCCAAGCTTGTAAAGCATAAGGTAGTATTGAAAAGATTATAGGAAAAGATCAATTTGTAAGGTAGTCTTGAAAAGATCGCTTTGTATGGTCCCACACAGGAAGAGATTCAGCTTGCCTCAAAGAGTGTCTGTCAGTCAGGAAGAGATTCAGGTATTCTTGAAAATATCTAGGGAAAACACCACCATGGAAACCTCTAACACTGTTCATCTATGCTACTTGTATCAGATGCATCATCACTGAATGCAGAAAACAATTCATCTATGTATCATCTAAATAAATTGAAGATAGCATAGGATTGCAAGGGTGACGCTCAGAGCTACAACTGGATATACTCGCTGTATCGTCCTCATAGATGCTGTATCACTTGCATCCGATCTTTGTGTTAGGTCCTTATTGCGCCTAGTTTCACCAATATTATGACCCTTATGTTCTTCAAACAATAAGGTTTGAATTTCACAGATAGAGCATTATCTTTAACACCACGTCAGACAGGTGTTTGGGAGCCAGAGGCGTGTGCGCCACCCAGGGTTGCTCACTCAGAACTAACCCAGCCAGCAGCCCTAGGGCATTCTGGGAATTTTTTCCAAGATGGCTGCCTCTCACTGGTGGTCCTAAGAGTCCATTTCATACACAACCAACCACGCACACATTTAGAGTGGGTACGAAAAATCAAAAAGACTTTTCTTGGTTAACGCAGTTTCCCACCGACCGAGAATACTCGGTTGGCGCAGTTAAGTGGTTAAGCACCCAGAAAGATTAGCGCCTCAAAATAAACCCCGATTCTGGTGAAATTTGCTTCAAAAAGCCAGACAAGTGGATAGAACTTCCCAAACAGAAATGAGGAAACGAGTATGACGTCACACAACGCCGCGCCAACGCCAACGCAGCTTTCCCCCTCCCCGGGAGGGAAAAGGGGACGCCCCAGACCCCCGCACCGGCCATCTACACCTCAGTTCTGAGGCTGGATATAAAAAAACATGTGAAAATCCGCCGACCAGGGGGAGGGAGGGTTGCCGGGGAACCTCCGGGACTCACCCAGAAAATGGCATTTCATTACATTCAACGCTGGTTTTCTGGGCAGAGTCCCTTTGGCTCCCTGGAGCTACCTATCCACAGATGAAAACCACAGGGACTTATCTGGGAGGCGGTCGCTGCTTACTCCTCAATGCGAAGGCGAGACAACTGGCTGCATCCGCCGACCCAAAGCGACACAGGCCCGACTAGGCCCCAGGAACGTTTACCAAGTAATGCACTGTTGATGGGCGCAGCCAGGACCCTATTCAACCTCCAAAAACCCTCTGCTCAAATATCAACCCAGGATATATTACCAAAAACAGCAGTAAGAGCAGCAAACTTGCGAACGTCATGGGCATGGGGATAGACCGTAGGCTGGCTAGACCGAATAACCCTGTGGACGACCTGGGAGACCCAAACCCTGGAACAGGGAAGAAGGGAGACCGGAACAACTCAAAGTGCATCCCCGGCCACAGAGTCTGTGGTGCGTAAATAACGGCGAAGAGCCGCAACGGACACAACACATGATGCACCCCCGGCCTAACGAACCAAGCATCAACAACCTAAGGACTCGTCCAGAAAGCAGCAATCTCATTCTTTGCCAGAAAAGGAGACGGCTGCAAATGAATAAACCTACCGCCAGGACCAGCGAGCAGAAATCCCTGCGCCTGAGGAGAGCATGAAGCTCCCCGACCCGAACCCCAGAGGCCAATGCCAACAAGAAAAGAGCTTTAGAAAAACATTCCTGAACCGAAGGGGCCACTACAAACCAAGAAGAGAATTAAGAGAGTACCTGTCAAGCGACCAGGACTGCTCAAGCGGCACATGTGCAGGCTGGATGTGAAACAAAGCCCGAGACAGCTTGCAAAACAGCACAGAGGTAACACCAATACCGAAAGCAAGCTGCAGCGGCTCTGCCAGCACCGCACGATAGGAGGCGACAGTATTCGGCATAAGATGATGGTCTTGGAACAACCAAGAAAGAAAGGACAAGACAACCCTAACCGACTACTAAGCCGAAGAAAGAAATGGAAGGACAGCCAAGAGACTTCATACTGCCGCCGAGACAAAGCCAGCAGGTGGGATACCTACAACGAAACCATCTGATCACCATAGAGATGATGATAGATCCAAGTAAAAAATACCATAAGTGTAGACTCGAGGTGAAGATCGGACCAGCCACATGACGCACTGGTTCGATCTGCTGAAAGGGGCAGAGTCGTGAGAAAACCTCCAGGTACTGACACTGTGCAAGCAGCGCCTGAAACTAAGGCTGGGCCGGCCATCATGGGGCCAAAAGGACTACTCTTCCCTGGTAAGCCTCCAAGCGAGTCAGGACCTGGAGCAACAGCTGAACCGGGGAAAAGAGGTACAGGAACCCCCACCTCGACCAGTCCTGGCGAAAGGCATCGACCCCGACGGCCTCGCAGTCAGGGAAGGGCGCCACATACACCGGTAGGCGCCGCGCCCACGCTGACGCAAAGAGGTCCACCTGCGGGCACCCGAACGTCTGGTAGAGCCAACTGAATGAGTCGGCGTCGTCCGTCCATTCTGTGGACAGGGGAACGAACCGAGACAGTCCATCCGCCAAGACGTTGGAAACCCCCCGAACATGAACTGCCTGGCGAGCCAAACCCTGAGAACTCAGCAGACGAGTTACCCAAAGCAACCAGCACTAAAGAGCCAGGAACCGCATCAAATCCCCTCGGTTCAGGCAATGAACCACCGGGGAGCAGTCTGAATGGAACCGGATCATTGCTCCTTGAGCAACCCGAATCCTCTGAAGCGAATGCCACACTGCCGCAAACTCCCACGTCGTGCTGTGAGCTCGACGGAAGGACGGACCCAACTGACCCTGGCCGGCCTGGTGAGCACTTGTCACAAAACCCCAGCTGAGAGACGAGGCATCTGTGAACACATCGAGCGAGGGCTCGGGGAAGCGCCACGGCACAGAACCCCGAAAAACCCGCAGAGGAAGCCGGCGATGTAGCAGCCAATGCAAGGCTCCCGAGATCCGAACCCATCGATTGCGAGAGCTGCGGAAGGGACGACCCCGAAGAAACCAGAACAGCCGCCGAAGCCAGATCTGACCCGATGGGTAGACCAGCACGGTGAAGTTCAGGCTCCCGCACAGCCGCTCGAACAACCGACGTGTGACCCGGGTGCCCTCCAAAAACAGCTGGAGGCGGGACCGCAGCTGCAACAGCCATGCAGGAGGGAGACAAGGAAGCGGTCAGAGTGTCCCACACAAGACCCAGCTAAATCCGAATCTGAGAGGGAACCAAATGGGACTCCTTCCAGTTCACGAAGAACCTGAACCCGGCGAGCTGGGAAAGAACCATATCCCTGGCTTGTAGACATCACGGACTGGCTGGGAGCCCACACCAGCCAGTCGTCGAGGTAAGCCAGAACCCGAACCCCTAAGAGACACAAACAGGTCACCAAGACCCGGGTAAGGCGTGTGAACACTCGAGGTGCCAGATTCAAGCCAAATGGAAGGCAACGAAAGCGGTAAGCTTGTTGCCCCACGACAAAACCGAGCCCGTCCCTGAACCCCGGATGAATCGGGACGTGCCAATATGCGTCCCGGAGGTCCAGAGACACCATCCAGGCACCCGGCGCCAAAAGCAGCAGGATCGGAGGGAGAGTGGTCATCCAAAAGCAGGAGCAGAAGACCCAGGGAGTCAGACTAGACAAGTCCAGTACGAATCGCAGATCCGCACAGTCCCGTTTTGGAACTGAAAACAGGCACGAAAACCCACCTGAGGGACGTTGTCGTTTCGACCACACCCAAGCGAACACACCCTAGATGACCTGACAGAGCACAGGAGAAGAGGCCTGCCCTGCCAGCCTCGATCCCCCCAAAGGAGGAGGAGTGACTCAGCGCCACCACTGGCCGAATGAAATGACCCGAAATGCCCACGAATCGTGGGACCAGGTGAGAGCAAACAGCACGAGCCTCCTCCCTATCGCCCCGTCAACGAGGCAATCTGCGAAAGGGTCGACGACCCTTACGAGAGCTCAACCGACGCTGAGAGCGATCACTGCAGAAGCCGATGGCTCTAGAGGAGGTGCCAGCCCTGAATCTGGCACAACTGGCTTACAGCAACCAAAGGAACCCCGAGATCTGGCACAACCCTTCTGGGCAAGACCTCCATGGCCTTCCCCGGAGAACCTACAAGTCCGACAAAGGCTGTCAACTAGACAAAGCAGCCTGCAGAAAATGCACCACCGCAAACTCTGCAAACAGCTAAGGACACAAAGGGGATGGAAATCTAAGAGCCAGGGCCCATACCAGTTGCGTTGCTCCTGGCAGTATGGGTTTGAGTCACTTCTGGGGTGTGAGTTTTCAGTTGTATATAGTCCTGGGGACCATTCAGGCTTGTTTGCATTTGTGTTCCTCACGTGTGCCTCAAAGAATGAGGTGATTTGATAAAATGCTATGCCCAAGATTACCATCCGAGTGCCGGCGGGGAAGTGGTTCAAATAGCTTCGGCTATCACTTCCTTTTGTCCGGTCGTGATGGTCAAGCGGATTAAGGCGTCCCTGTACATACCAGTTGCGTTGCTCCTGGCAGTATGGGTTCGAGTCACTTCTGGGGTGTGAGTTTTCAGTTGTATATAGTCCTGGAGACCATTCAGGCTTGTTTGCATTTGTGTTCCTCACGTGTGCCCCAAAGAATGAGGTGATTTGATAAAATGCTATGCCCAAGATTACCAACCGAGTGCCGGCGGGGAAGTGGTTCAAATAGCTTCGGCTATCACTTCCTTTTGTCCGGTCGTGATGGTCAAGCGGATTAAGGCGTCCCTGTACATACCAGTTGCGTTGCTCCTGGCAGTATGGGTTCGAGTCACTTCTGGGGTGTGAGTTTTCAGTTGTATATAGTCCTGGAGACCATTCAGGCTTGTTTGCATATGCATATGCATATGCATATGATATATAAAATGCTATGCATATGCATATGCATATATATATATATGCATATATATATATATATATATATATATATGGGTATATATATATATATACCATATATATATATATATATATATATATATATATATATATATATATATATACACACACACACACACACACACACACACACACACACACGCACACACACAACTGATAACATTAGTATAAGCCCAAGAAAGATAAAACATAGAGAAATGTACAGAAGAAACAGGAGAGCAGAAAATACATATGACATTAGATGTTGGGTAATAAGAAAGTCCGGGCATGTGAAGCAGATGGTGGACAATCAGACTACATTCATGAGACACAAGAATATGGGTCAGTGGAAACCAAAATTCCAGAGGCCATAGAAGGAAAAAAAAAACTAGAAAAGTATGATTAGATACAGTTCTTGTTACAGCCACCCTCTTTGAGTTATGACAAAATTGTTTCTGCCTATGTAATAACTACAGTACTAACCAATTTAATAATTAATTTTTTTACCGGCAAAATTGTAAAACTGTCAATGTAACCATACCCAAAATTCTTCAGTTGCCAAAAATTAGCTAACTGCAGCACACATCCATTGTTTACTTACATTTGTTTCAGAATCTCTAATAAGGAAGTCTCCGTCATGTCCACGCTGGTTGAGGACGTCATCACACTGTGCTCGGGTGATAGGTCCATAGTACCAGTCTCTAGTAGAAAAGTGATTCTTGTCTGGAGGAACACCACTTACTGCAGGTGGAGGTGGCATTGCAGGAGCGGGTGGTGTAGGTGCTGCAGCATTCATATTAAGGCCTTGCATACCCTGCAAAAAGTATGGCAATTAAAATTTGTTTTTATTGCAAGTAAAATAGGAAACATCTAATTATAAACAAAAGTCCACTGGCTAGTATAAATAAAAGTGGTAAACTTCTACTACCAACATCACCAATGATAACACCATCACTGCTGACACAACCAATAGTAACGACACCTTAACCACCACCACAAACGGAGCTGTCATGACAAAAGACAAGAATTCAACTGATGGTGGTTAGTGAATCAATGTCCGCTATCATTAACAAGTGTGGTAATGAAATAATTAGAGAAAATAATTAAACCCAAATGAATAGAATATCTTTAAAGAAATTACATAACAACCATAAAGTTTTTTAAATAAAAGGTTTTGTATGGCAAATTTACAGCTTTTATAATATAACCAGTGATCTTATAAGAGAGTGATAGTTGGGCAGGTTGTATCTATCTAGACCTAGAAGAAACAATTAAGAGTTCCATACAAGAGGCTATTTTAGAAGTTGGAAATACAGTACACAGGAGAGTTGACAAGCAGACAAGTGTGGATGAAAATTTCTGAACAGACACAAAGATGAGAGTAGCTATATGAAACAATAAATCACACTAGAGAAATGTCACTAGTATTATTGAATACTGTATAATTAAAATCATGATTAAGCACTTTTCATTAAAACTGTCAAATAGTAAGTGCACCTGTGCGAGATGGGCATCTGCGTTGTGAGCACCACCATTAGTGGCAGGGGCATGTGCACTGTTACTGGGTCCTGGTGGAGGAAGCTGACGAGTCTGAGACGGTTCTCGAGATCGCGACGCTCGAGTGTCTACCACTTCATGAAGCTCTTGAACATAATTCTTCGGAATCAAACCAACCTAGAAACAAGTAAGGACATATTTAGAATAGCACTGACTGCCAACTTAAGTTTTAAATAAAAAATAAAAATCCTAAGGTTGGCCTTTTTCCAATTGATATTCCGGGTATCTATTCATGGCCAAAAACTTGAGTGCATCATCATCCATAGCATTCCATGCACTCTTATACTTCATATTTGTTTACATATTAATGTTTTCTAACTTTCTTCCACTTCTGTTAACCTCAACTTGTGCATACTAGTTACTGTGATTTTCCTCACCATTTTTCACAAATGTTCAGTTTTGTTGTTAATCAGATTCTTATTATAAATGATCCTCATACTGCTATGAAATTATTTTCCACAAGCTAGTCTAGTATTACGGTGTAGAAGTGGTGGGACAATCTCAAATATTAGGCTGAAGATATAGTGAGAATGCAAAAAAAGGAAATGAAGAATGTGGTGAAGTATAAAGCCAGCGCTGAATGTAATTAAACTCCCTTTTCTGGGTGAGACCCGGAGGCTTCCCGGAGCTATCCAGGCTGATATGTAACTAATAGATTTCTGGCATCAGTCAAAGTGCATGGCGTTCTTCCCCTACCTGGGACCACAAGCCAGAACCTGGCCCCCCTCAGAGAGGCGCAAGGAGCAATGGCCTATAGATACTCCCGTGTGATTGGAAGCATTCTGTCTGCCATCGACCGGGTCTGGCACCCAGAAAGGTAGGCGCCCCAAAACAAACCCCTATTCTGGTGAAAATATTGCTACCAAAAGCCAAACGAGTGGACAGAACTCCCCAAATGAAAACTAGCAAACTAGCATGACTTCATCATGTCGCCGCACCGCCGTCTGCACAACCCCACCCCCTCCCCGGGAGGGGGAAGGGGAAGCCCCAGACCCCCATGCCAGAGATTCAACTGGCAGTTCTTAGGCTGGATATAAAAAACATGCGAAAACACCGCCGACCAGAGGGAGGGAGGGATGCCGGGGAGCCTCCGGGTCTCACCGAAAAAATGGCGTTTCATTACATTCAACGCTGGTTTTCTGGGCAGAGCCCCGTTGGCTCCCCCAGAGCTACCTCACCAAAGATAAGGAAAAGAGGGAAGGACCCGGGAGGCGGATGCCACGTGCCCTAACTCAAAAACAAGACAACTGGCAAACCAAAGGACCCTACAGACGACCCGGGAGACCTGAACCCCGGAACAGGAAGGAAGGAAGGGAACCCGGGCAATCCCGGATTCCCCTACAGCCCCCACAGCCATAAAGGCCAAGACGCGCAGAGAACAGCAGAGAGCCACAACCGAACACAACACATGATGCACCTGGTCCGACCAACCAAGCATCAAGAACCCAAGGACCCTTCCGGAAAGCAGCAGACCCCATGCATTGCCAGAAAAAGGAGACTGCTACAAACGAGTAGAACCACCCCAGGACCAAACGAGCAGAAAAACTCCTGCGCCAGAGGAGAGCCTGAAGCTCCCTGAACTGATCCCCAGAGGCCAACGCCAACAGGGGAAAAAAGAAAAAGAGACCTGCAAAAACAACCCTGAACCGAAAGGGGCCACGACAAACCGAGGGGAAGAGAGAAGAGACCACCCGATCCAATGACCAGGATGGTACTGGAGGCACACGAGCAGGCCAGAGGCAAAACAATGCATGAGACAGCTGGTGGAATGGAGCAGAAGTGACATCAATATCGGACGCAAGCTGGAGTGGCTCCACCAGCACCGCACGATACGAGGCGACAGTATCCGGCAGAAGAGAAAGGTCCTGAAACAACTACAAAAGGAAGGACCAGACAACCCTATCAGAGACTGAAATACCCCGACGCAGGGATAGGAACTGGAAGGACTGTAAGGAATGTCATACTGCCGCTGAGACGAAGCACGCAAGTAGGAGACCAACAACGAAGCCACCTGCACCCATACAAGTGATGAGAAACTCAAGACAAAAACCCCAGACACGAAGACTCTAGGAGAAGAACGAACCAGCCTCGTACAGGGCCGTTCCAATCTGCAAAAAGAGGCAGAGCCGCGAGAAGACCCTCAAGTTCAGACACTGAGCAAGCAGTGCCAGAAACCAAGGCTAGGCCTGCCACCAAGGAGCCAGAAGGACAACCCTCCCCTGGTATGTCTCCAAGTGAGCCATGACCTAGGACAATCCCCGAACAGGAACCACCTGGAGAGCCAAACACCGAAAACTCAGCAGACGAATCACCCGAAGCGACTAGTCCCAAAGAGCCAAGGACCGCACAGAACCTCCCACGGTTCAGGCAAAGAACCACTGGGAACAGTCCGAAAGAAACTGGCTCGACTATCCGCAAGTGATGCGAATCCTCTGGCGTGAAATCCACACAGCCACGAACACCCGCACCGCGCTGTGAGCTTGACGGAGGGACCAACCCCACCGTCCCTGGCCAGCCTGGTGAGCACGGGTCACAAAGCCCTAGCCAGGAGAAGACGCGGCAGCGAAGACAACAAGCGAGGGCTCAGGTAGGTGCCAAGGTACAGAACCCCGAAAGCTCCAAGAGGAAGCCAGTGACACAGCAACTGACGCAAAGCCCCGAGAGGCCGAACCCAGCGGTCGCGAGAGGCGGAAGGGATGTCTCCGAAGAAACCAGATGGGACATATGCCAGGTCTCCAGGAAACCGAACCCGGCGAGCTGGGAAAGAACCAAATCCCTGGCGAGCAGACACGCGGAGTGACTGGGAGCCCAAACCACCCAGTGGTTGAGGTAGGCCAGAACCTGAACACTTAACAGATGCAGGCGGGCCACCACAACCCGAGTAAGGCATATGAAAACGTGATGCGTCAGTTTCAAGCCAGGAAGGCAACAAAAGCGGCAACCTTGATGCCCCACAACAAAACTGAGCCAGTCCTAAAACCCTAGACACACCGAGATGTGCCAATACACGTCCAGAGGTCCAAAGACACCACCCAAGTGCCCGGACCCAACAGAAAACGGACCTGAGACAGAGTAGTCATCCAAAAGGATGGGCAATAACCCACGGGTTCATACGTGATTAGTCCAGAATGAACTGGAGGTCCGTGCAGTCCCGTTTCAGGACCGGAAACAGGCGGGAACCCACCTGAGAGACGAGGTTGTTTCGACCACACCCTAGCAAACCCACTCCGAGATGGCAAGACAGAGTGAAGGAGAAGAGGCCCACCCCACCAGCTACAAACTCCCCGAAGGAGGAGCCAATGCCATCGCAGGCCGCACTAAATGATCCTAAAGGCCCGTAAATCGTTTGACCAGGCACAAGCTACCAGAGTGAGCCTCCTCGCCATCTCCCCATCATGGGGACAAATCGCGAAAGGCCTGACGCACTTTACTAGAACTCAAGTGGCGCATAGAGCAATCCCTGCACCAACCAGAAAAGATGAACCGAAGGCAGCGCCTGCCCTGAAGCTGGTTCCACTGACCTACCACAATGGAAAGAACCCCGAGCCCTTGTACGACCATTCCAGGAAGGCCCCCATGAGCCCCCCGGAGAACCAACAAGTCGGACAGAGGATGGAAACAAGCCGAAGCTGCTTGCAGATACTGCACAACCGCAGACTGTGCAAACAGCATCGGACAAAAAGGCAAAGACAACCTAAGAGCCAGGGGGCCCAAACAGAATCCAATGAAGAAGTAAGTACCGCCTGCTGACACGGGAGTCGAGAAGGAAAAACCACGAAAACCGCATCCCATAGGAGCGGTGCGAACAGCGTCAACAATGCAGACGATGCACGCACCGCCGAGGGCAATGCGCCCTGGCCCCAAGCACCTTTGCATCCAACTCAAGCCAAACTGAGGACAGCTCGAGGAGGGAGAAAAACACAGGGCCGAAGCCTACAGGCCACGTGTATGCAAGTCCTCCGTGACCAAGGCAGCCGAAAGGGAAGGAACCTGCACATGAAGCTGCACTACACCAACATCCCACGGAAGGGCAGGGGCGAACAATATGCACCGAGATGCTCAAATTCGCTCCCCAGGAAAACCTGCAACGCAGTATGAACCTCCCCTCCACACAAGCGCGCGGGACCGGCAGAACGTGTGCCAAGCCTCCAACGAAAAGAGTGGGCAGTCTGCCAACCATGACGACTCTGGAACTCATAACGAACCCAGTACCGACACAAAGATCCATACATTAAAGCATAATCCTGGTCACGCAGGAGGTAAGCCGCAAGGGCTACCCACACAACATGAGAAAGGACACGGGAAGCCAAAAACCTCTGGAAGGACGGACCGAGGAACCTACGGGAATATGGAACCGAACCCGGGGAGGGATAGACGCCAAGTCCAAGTCATATATGGAAGGAGCGGAAGAGAACCCCTCTCCGTGTAACATTAACATCAAGCCCCGCTCCGAGGGTTCAAAAACCCAAACGGGGGTCAAACGGGGCCCAAGGCCCCAAAGTCAACCCCTCCCCCGCCCCGCAACCTCACACCGGGGACCCAGAGTCGAGCCGTCCCCCCATAGCCCCAGCCTCACAAGAAAAAGCCGGGCAGCTGAAAAATACTAAGGAAGGGGGCCCACTGGTCAGACCCATAAGCATCGGCAGGAGAAACAAGCTCGAATGCCTCCGCCACTACCCCAGAAGGGGACACCCTCAAAACCGGCCGAGTCTCAACACCAACTAGACCCCACCCTGCCCCTGAACCCACTGATGGGTTGTAGCCGGAAGCCAGAGAGGGGAGAACCGGGATGCACGACAGAAGGAGAAGGAAGGGAGGAAAGTACCAAGACAAAGTGACTCCCACCCCCAAGTCCGGGTCCCAAAAACCAAAATGGGGCAGTCTCGGGGCATCCGGGGAAACGACCAACTCATTGCATGGCAGCAACAGAGCCTAGCATGCAACGCAGCTGCTGCTGCCTGCACCCTCAGATCATGATCAATAATGAGGGTGAACAGGAGCACGTACGAACAACAATGTCGTACGACTCCGGATCAAAAGAACCCCCGACCCTACAGGCAGCATGGCAGAGACAGAACCGGTGAATGTCACCCTGAGACAAGGGGACAGAGCAACGA